TCGATTTCCTAGAAATGTACTTTTAAATCGTTACTTTTTTTGTTTAGTACTTGTACTTTTACTTGTACTTTTTACTCGTTACCTTTTAAAATAAGAACTTTTTACTTTTTACTCGTTACTTTTTTTAAAAATACTTGTACTTTTACTCGTTACTTTTTAAAAGTAACGTTGCCATATATGGTCGTCATCCTTGACTTGCATTAAAGAAATTGTGGTAAAGGATTCGAGCTTTTGGCATAGATAATCAGCTAGCCAGAGTTCCATCTCTGCAACGAAAGTGAAGTTCTTGTTAATATGCATTCTGATAAGATCTAGTACAACACAAAGACAGCAGAAAATTAGAACAGATGCCAAACCTGTAATATTTATTTTTTTCCTAAATTATATGCTAGAGGACCAAAAGTACATAAATTAGAATTTATTTGACTATTTAAGCGGATGCTCATTTCTTTGCACTCTATGTTTTTGTTCCCCAAATACAGATCTTCTAAAATACATTATACCTCAGTTTTGTTTTGGAAAATAACGTTTATATAAAATTCAAAATAATTGTACAGTGCTCAGAAAAAGGGCACACTGAATAACTTTTGATCAAATGGTTGAGTTATCACGCACTAGGACTCTATATGTATTTACAGTGTGCAAAAATAAATAAATGACGGACCACCCTGAATAACTTTTAATGTAATGATCGGATCTTCACGTTCTAGGATTCAAACTTAATGATTTGAAGGGGTGATTGCAAACATGTGAATTAATTAGTCCACACGTTTTTTTAAGTTACGAAATCAGACACAAAAATATAACTTTGCTTAAATTTGATTTCTCAGAAACTTTTCAACCGATTTCGCACAAACTTTGTATTCTAACATGCAAAATTATATTCTTCAAAATGATGTAAAAATTCAAATTTTTTTCGATTAATATTAAGTAAAATAATAAAAAATGATAAACATTTATTAGACGTTGTTTTTTGCATGAAATTTTATAATTGTGATGCAACTATTTTTGCATAGATAAATGAATTTTATAATTTTGAGCAAAAATGTTTCAAATTGCTTTAAAAGTGAAAGATACAAAGAGTAGAATTAACATTAACGGGTCCTAACTTTGGACTGCTCTCTAGACCTAAATTTTGGAGCCATATTTCCCAGATTGTGGCTATCCCGTTTTTTATATTTTTGGGATTAGAAATTCGAAGTCGTTGAAAGAAAGGTATGTTTATTCAGAGAAAGAACGTTACGATTTTGTAACTGAAAATATCATTTACACTTATTAATTAGCATATTTGAGGTTACCCTCTTGAACTATTACGATTGAGTAATGGAACGTGAAAATCCGATCAGTAAATCAAGAGTTATTCAAGATGGTTTGGTTTCTTTTTTTTTTTTTTTTGTGCATTGTACATTAAGTGGACACCTTAAATATTTTCAAGATATGGGTTTGAAAGAACCAAGTAATTTAAAACTCTGTACCTAAATTAATTTCTCTTGTGAAATAAAATTTCTTATTTTCAGCCAAATATTAGTTTAAAACACAGTTACTCATGAAGCAAAAAAAAATATAAGTATTAGCTTTATTGTATTTGCAACTAGAAATTGTTGATGGTTAAAGTACTCTTTCAGATTTATTTTAAAAACTCTCAAGTTATGGCGCTGACTGACTCAGACTTGGCTTTTGAAGGACTAGAGAATTCTTTGGAAGAAATCATAGCGACAAGCACTCAGTATGTTACAACTTGGGACTGGTCTCAATTGCGCAATCTCAAGAAATTATGGGCTATAGAAGTCGACAATATTGGCATGCATACCTTGGACAACGAATTCCCTCATCTCCAGTACATGTCACTCTTAAAAATTAGTAGTGCAAAAATATCCTTCCTCCATCCAGATGCTTTTAGTGGATTGCCAAATCTAACTGTGCTCATTTTCAAGCAAAATGAAATAAGCAAATTTAAAAGAAGCATGTTGCCTGATCCAGCTAATAAACTACATCACTTGGATCTGAGGTAAAGAAATTTTCAACGAACTCTTACGAATTGTTCCACAGTTGAAACTCTTTATATATACCCGGTGTTCCTTAATGGCTGACCCTAAATTTATACATTAATTGTTCCCCAAAGAATTATGCAAAAACTTATTCACTTAAACGGTGGAAAATTAATATTCAGAATCAAATCGAGGGAATCACTGAAAAAGGAGGGTGGAATACAAAACCAGTTTGACTGCCAGAAAAAAAACTGAACTTGTTGTTGCTATAGAATTTTAATTTCCTCTGGCACTTAAACAGATTTAGACGTTTTCCGATTCGCATACCTCATTCGTGATTCCTTAGTCTTTTTATATTATTTCATGACCCTTGTTTTTTATGCTTTTTGACTAGAATTCTTAAAATATTTATTAAGATGGTCTTAACGGTACATCCGGTTTATTTCTTTTTCTTAAATATCATTTAATCCTTTATAATAAGGATCGCAAACTAACGTTCACTGAGGAAAGGAACGAAAAAAAATCAAAACCTAACGAATGATTATTGATGCCAGTCAGTGACAAAGGATGTTTAAAATAGCCAAAATCAAGCTAATTATCGAAGAAAATTAAAAAGTGACCATCCTTTAATTTTTCATACTCTGAAGGTGAAACACCATTGTAAATTTTCAGAAGCATTTTTTTGTGTGTAAGCATTTTTTTGATTTCTTCAAAAAAATTTATCACAAACATTTAATGTAATCTATAAAATCTTGCATATAACGGACTTTAAGAGCAGTTTTGATCAGCATGCTTCTAGAATGTAAAAAATACATTTTTATTAAAATAAGGTCTCATTAATTACTTGATTTTAAGAAAAAAAATTTGATAAAAATAAAATGTTGATTCGAACAAATTTCGTTAAGCTTCAATTTTAACTTTTGAAATATTTTCCAGGCTTCTCCAAACTATTTTCTTATTTAACTGTAGGAATTAGCAAAAAAAACTGTAAGAAAACAAATTTAAATTCAATATAAATAACTTGACAATTTAATATTAATAAATCACAGCAATAGACATTTATAAAAAATTCAATCATCACAAGATATTTATATAAATGATAGAAACTGCATATCGCTTTCTTCCATACACATTAAAGTAGTGAGAAAATTCAGTAGGCCAGTTCCTGTGTCAAATAAATTAAAGGCTCCATAAAAGGGAACCCTGGAAGCTGCTTCAAAATTTTTGGTTTTAACCCACTAGAACCTGAATTTTGCCATTCTTCTTGTTGTGAAGTTAAGTTACCATCTTGAATAAACTGAGCGAAGGAGGAAGAGGAGTCAAAGACCCTTGCGTAAACAATTACTATCTAGACAAGTTGTTGGAGTTGATAGGAATAATAGTTTAAAAGTTATAAGGGAATTAGTAAATATACCGTATAGAAAAGTAAATATTTTATACCTTTCTATGTGTCTGAAATCTTATCTTGATAAGTAAGATATTAATTATCATGTTTTTTTTTACGTAAAATCTATTGAAACCTAAACCAAGGCTATACAGCTAATAGTTTAGAAGTCATAAAAGGTATAAAAGTTTCGTGTATAAGAAGTAGATTTTTTTCTTTAAGTTCAAAATTAGTACAAAAAATTATTATTGCTTTAATAAAATTTAATTTTTTTATCACTATGAAATCATGGATTAAAAACATAGTTAAGAAATAAAGCTATTAAACTGAAGTGGAATGTAAATATCTTATGCAAAACAAATCCAAAAATATTACAAAAATCATTTAAAATTCTGTGAACATTCAAATAATGTAAGTCGAGGAACTAATATCAAGTCAATAGGACTAATAGCTTAGAAGTCAAAAAATTACAAAATTAATACAAGAAATTAATATTGTTCCGATTAAATTAAATTTTTAATCACTGTGTAGTAAAAGCATAGATAAGAATAAAACCGATCTTGAAGATGTAAAAAATAGGATGCAAAACAATTCCGAAACAATCAAGAAAATCACCTAAAATTCCGTAAACAACCGAATAATGTAATTTTTTTCATTGTAAAATTTTAATCCCGTTTTATTGTACTTACAGTAGCAACTTATTGGAGACTTTACCTGAAAATATGTTTAAGAGCATGCCAAATTTACGGGAACTCTATTTGGGTCATAATAAACTTTTGACACTCAATGAAGAGACGTTTTCGCCGGTCATTAAAAAACTGCAATTATTGGTGTTGACAGGTAAGAAAAATAACTATTTCAGTTTAATAAATTCATTTTATTTCAATGTATAAATTAATAAATATATTTTTCCAGGTAATGCTTTTCAATGTGATTGCCGAATGAGATGGATTGTGGGTTATTTTACTCATTTGCATTTAGAAGGCGAATGCGAGCAACCTCCCCCTATGAGAGGAAAGACACTTAGATACCTAAAAGATATCGATTTCTATTGTTAAATAAAAATTTCATTGTACTGTTAGCTCTGTATTTTAACACGAAATACTTAAATAGAATAAAAATATGAACTGATCAACAAATTGAAAATTATCTGTAGCAAATCTATGTGAATAAAGATAAATTTTTACATGCATGTGAGTAGGAATGTATGTATACCACATATAAATCCACAATTCTTAACCAATCCACTTCAAATTTGGTGTGCAGTGCACAAAGTAAATTAATAAATAAATAAATAAACGAAGCACTCTGTACAACTTTTATTCTAATGATGGGATTTTCTCGAACTAGAACTCAATTTTATTGTTTACATATATATATATATA